CCCACATTTTTCGGGGCAATGTGGCAAGGGAAATCGGCTCTAACATAACAACGGGCAAGATCGGGCAGCCAAATTTGGTATCAACTTAAAGCTTAGACATCAGAGGAAATGGTGGTATTAAAATATAGGCGGTACACTGCGGAGATCTAAACATTTCTTCTGGATTTATAAAAAAACAAGGATAATTAGTCCATTTTTCAGTGAATTACCCTATAATATATCATGAAGATTGTGTTTCTATTAATTTTAACCCATTCATTCAACGAAATGAACTATCAGGAATATGTGAGAGCAATTTCATATCAATAACTTAAAAACTTCATGTTGAATTGAAAGATTTATAAAATAAGTCACTTTTGCATTAAAACTGTGAATATGTAGGATTTTGCTGTTTGAAGTAGTAAATTTATACCCTTATTGTGCATAACGGAATTAAATATTTCACTGAGGTATTCCTCTATGTATTACCTTTCAACTGGGCAAGAAAAAAATTGAAAAAAAAAAATCACCCAAACTTAGTTTTGGCGCACTTTGGTTCCTCCCTGGCCCACTGTGTGCCGGTGTCACCATTACGTACCAATATTTGGCTCGCATAATTTCAAATGTGGGCCCCCCTTAAGAATTAATTCTGGACCGCGCCTAGTAGTAGTAGTAGTAGTAGTAACAACAGCAGCAGTAGAAATAGCAGTAACAGTAAAGTAGTAGTAGTAGTAATAGTAGTAGGCCTTATAGCAGCAGTGGTAGACTAGTAGTAGCAACAGCAGCAATATTACTATTATTAGTAGTGGTAGTAGTATAATTTTTGTTTTATTTTTGCCGCCGGAAATTTGAAAATCGCGCAGACCGTTATTTTCGCTCAGTGGAGGGGGGTTGTGATAGGTGATAGTGGTGGTAATTTTACCTGACAGCTAAGAAAGCAATAAATGCTTGTTAGTAAGCAAACAGAAGACCGACGGCTTTAAGTCCTCTCCGAGGGACCTGGTAATGAGGATTAAGCCTAACCAAAGGGCACTAGCACATCGACTTGGTTTCGAACCCGGGTCACCGGATAACGAGACCAATGCTCTATCGACTGAGCTATCGCGCCTCCTCGCGATCACTAACCAAAAGACTAAACTAAAAGAAGGCCAGCGGATAAAAAGTCACAGCTCGTAGGGAAAAAAAACTTGCCGGCCGACCGACAATATACATCTCACCGACCTCAAACTTCTGCATTGGTATAGTACACGAGGATCGAGCAAGCATACCGACACAGCTGACCCGACACAGCAATATATTTTACCCGTGTCTTTCTTGCTCCCTCGACGAGACGACTCCACCCAACAACCCCCCTCTCTCTTTTACTCCCACTCCTCCTCTCTCAGACCCTTACCTCCCCTCTCTCTTCTCTCTTTCCTCCCCCGTTTCTTTTGTTTCCCTTTTCTCTTTTTTCTTCTTTTTTCTTTCTTTCCTTTCCTCCCTCTTTTTCTTTTTTCTCTTTCTTTTTTCTCTTTCTTTTCTTTTCCTTTTTTTCTTTTCTTTTTCTTTTTTCTTTTCTTTCCCTTTCCCTCTCTTTTTTTCCCTCCCCCTTTTCTCTTTTTTCCCGACGGCAGCCAATTTACCGACAATATCCTGACAGATCGCACCCGCACCCCCCCCCCCTTTGGAGACGCCCCTGAGTGGACACCAAATTTAAATGGTGTAAGATAGTGGATATAAAGACATAAAATTACATTAAATATTTGAAATTATACACTTAAATTGTAAACAATAATTATGATAATAGCTAGTTCTTATATTATTATAATAGCGCTTTTCAGGACCGAAGGCCTTCTCGAAGCGCTTCACAATTATATATATTATTACCCCGGTCATCGGATTCAGGCTTTGCCGCACACATACTCCCTGGGGGAGCATTCCAGCCAAGCGTCATTTTTACAAGCGCACACTTGGTAATCCAAGCAATTTAAAAACAGGTGCGTTTCGCTGTGAACAGGCGCGATAACAATCGCCCTCAAAGCTACGTCTAAACTATGTTCCCGGCATCACGGCAGCCACGTTTGCCTGAAACATTCTGTATTAAAGATTTGTTGGGTGTTGCTAAGTTTTTGTCAAGGTCTATCACGGTATCCTTCCCCTCGTTGCTTCACGTCCATCCCTTTTTGTACGCAAAGGCCGGCGTGAATAGAAATGTAAACATAGCTTGAAATGACGTCACAATCGGAAAATGAGCGCCATTTTTTAGGGTAAGCTCAGTTACACGTTTCAACAAGTTGTAACTTCAAGCATCTTAGTCCAGAATCTGGCCTATTTAATTTTGATCTCCACCGCACCAACGCTACCTCTTCCTACTTACTTGCTACCAGCCGATGATGGCGTGATCATTAAATTGAGACGCCCGGCGAAACTCAGGCTGGGCTGGTGAGCATAATTATGAGTCTGTTGATAACGCCATCTTCGACGGCTTGGATCAAGTGTGGGGAAATTAACAAGGACCGTGCAGATTCTGGATTACAAGCATCTCCGCCTGGCTGCCGCCACTAAAACTTTAAGCATCTCCGTACGGCGGCCGCCAACTGGAAACTTTAAAGTTGCAACTTTAACAACCTATTTTTGGCGGAGGCCGGCTGAGCCAATTATAGACGTGCCGCCAGGCGGGAGGTGGATGGGCCGATTAAAAACTCAGATCCCAGCCTGGTGCAAGCCGGCTGGGCTAATTAGTGAAAATTAATTGCCCCAGCCAGGCTTCAGGCGGAATTGCAGCCTCGATCCGCCAATACGTGAGGCGGTAGCCAGCTGGTATCGATATTTTTGACGCCTCGCCTTAGAAGAAATGCAATTCATTATGCTCTCGCACCTCTCCCTCTCTTTTATCGTTGTTTAATTCTCTTTCATTTGTTTCCCTTTCTCCTACACGCCTGGCAAGAGGGACCCCATATTATGCACACCGCACACTGCCATTACGGCGCTCTAGCATTTTAAGGAATAATATCCTGCCAGGTATCCATTACCCGGGTCAAGTAAGGCAAATGTAGACTAATAACTTGCCAAATAAAAGGACATTAGTGCCGCGGCGGGACTCGAACTGCGGACTTTTTGATCTACAGTTCGATGACGTATCCAGTCGACCATGACACCTCTACCTCGACACCTACCATAATAAACCATTCTTTTTTCATCTTTCTGTATCGCAGTGTCTTTACTTTACGAGATATGAGCATGAGAAGATACCTGAAGGGATCGCAAGAAGGACAGAGGAAGTGTTATCTAGTAAGTTGATGCTTTGTTTTTGTTTTACAAGTTATTTATGATGCTCTTTGGCATTCAACATCAAATAATATTTAAGTTATAATTATTTAGGTCACTGTAATATTTAGTTGTACTTGAACACACTTTAAAAAATCTCCTCCAGAATAAAAATGTCATGATATCTGCATAATGTTTCTACTGACATTTTTGGCGAGGGTCTTTAAAATCTGAAGACACACAACAAAAAATACAACAAAAAAATATATATATATATACATATATACTTTACGTTTGAGTGAGCACAGACTAATTAAAAAAAGAAAACAAATGCGATTTTTTTTTTTAGAACCTTAGATTGGATCAACCTGCAAATCAGGCAGTTTATTACATGTTTTCTGTTAAGTATCAATAATTCATTTGAACAATCATTTGATCTCTAACCTTATACCTAGCTGTACACACCCCTAGTGGAATAACCAGAAATTGATCAATGTAGTGGGTGGTATCCTCCCAAGACAGGGTTTCCTAAATCTATCTTTGCAGCCCCTTCTCATTTTTTCCTGGTCCTTGACGGCCGAGCTACACTAGCTATAACGCAGTGCTAGATATATGACACTGCCCCCATTATCTTCCCGTTTTTGTCCGGATAGTGTTGGAATTATTGATTACTGCGACAGGAAGACATCCTAGAATTTACATGTTTTCTTCTTTAAGTTAATGATTTATCTTAAAAGTCACAAGTCCCAAGAAACAAGGTGTTTCATGGTGAATGGGAAATATAGGAAAGGAGACATATTTAATGATAAAAGTAATACTTTGTTTTCTTTAGAGTAAATATATACTTTGGACAGCAACCCGTCATGAAAGTGAGATGGAAGAGAAAAGGCAAACAAAGGGAACAAAATACTTGTTTTAAGTATCTCTATTTTATGAGAATTGAACAATTTGTTAACACAGAATGCCGGGATGTAGCCTCATGGACCAAATTTCAAGCCACTGCCAGTACTAACATAATTCTGGTGTACAGCGGCGTGCGCGCTGTACATATATTATTCACATGCTCAATGTACGTACGTACGTACGCTCCGAAAGCTATTTCTAGGCTCCTAAATATTTGTGACGGCAGCACGAAAAACAAGAGAAAGATATTCCAAATCATATCGACTACCAGATTGAAAGCCCTTCTTGAAACTTCAAGAAAGTGAAGGACTTAATTTTATAATACCAGTACCCCACCAAAACGTAGAATGTCCGCTGGTCAGCAAACGAGCCAACAAACCCTGTTTTGTAGTCCCGTCTGTATTTCTGACAAGTTTTTAAACATATTTCAAAAATTGCCCACAAAAGAATATTCCCACCATCAAATATGACAACTCAGTGTGGTGCAGGCTGAACGGTATATTGGACCATGTAAAGAAGGGAAAAAAATAAGATCAACCCTGATATATGTATAAATATATAGTGGAAAGAAGGTAATGAAGTTGCGAACATTAAATGATCGTAATCGCTACGAAAATTTGAAAAGAACAAGTTTTACCTTACGCTTTCACATTAAAATTTGAAGAATCCTTCAGTCTGCAGGTTTCACCGTTGGAGACTATCCTTACTTGCTCTTTCTATGGTGTATTCTCATGATGACAAACTCGACCAATTTGATGGTGGGTGGTCAGTTCATTCCAGGGTGTTTTTATCGAGACACCATCTGTAGCTAGCTGGCCGTTGACTCGAAGAGTTCCTTTGCCCTTTTGATGGGTCTTTTTTCCCCCTTCCAGTTGCCCGACAATGGAACAGGTCTGGCCTGGCCCCCTGAGCATGATGGAGGTCTATAGATTACGAAGAGTGAAAGAATTCTTTGATTATTGGATTGCCCAGAGCGTAGAGTTACCTCAAGGCATTCAAATGTGTCAAACACACGTGGCTTCATTTTTGGAGAGAAGGAATTTCACAAAAAATTACACAGAGACCACCACCACTCTTTCCTTTTCGGGGTAGTTTTAATGCTTTAACTTTCATCCTTTTCCTTTAATTTTAGTATCAGCGGTTATTGACACAGTCATTCAAGAAGCGATTAGGAGTGGAGCGGCCCCGTGGAACAGATCTCGAATAATGGTCATTGGTCCTGCAGGTGTTGGCAAGACAAGCCTAATCCGTCGACTCACAGGACAGAAGTAAGTAAGGGCGTTTTCACACCGCAAGGGGGGTCCGCCATTGGCATTCGCCGGATCCACACCGCAGTGAGATAGCGCGGTCTATCGTAGCACCCCCATTTTTTGAGAGGTCCTGTTGCCATGACGCGTGACGTCATGAGGTCAGAGCGGTCAAAGATTTCGCGCGCTATTACGAACTAGGAGTGTTGAGTTGTACCGATTCAGATTCAGATCGCACCAAATAGAATGAGTATAACATTCCCCGCGTGTAGAACGATGACTTCCGACGTGCTATCGTAGCTCGGGTTCACACCGGCAGAGATAGCCACCGCTATCTCTCATGGAGGCTGTTCACACCGCAATGAGATAGCGCGGTCTATCGTAGCACCCTCTTTTTTCTAGCGCGCGCTAGACCGCGCTATTTCTCGTGGACCACCCCCAAGCAGGCGCGCCGGAAGCAGTTAGGGATGGGGGGGGGGGGGGCAAACATTCCAGGTGGCTCACATTCCAGGGGCAGTGACGTAATGAGAAAAAAGTTCGGAAGGGGGGGGGGGGCTGACGAAAAATCTGCATCACAACCAGTCTTACACGTTACATGCAGGTCCCGCAGAACGTTTTTCAAAGTGGAGTATTATCGATCAGGTAGAACGTAAATTGGCGTGGGGTCCAGGGCAAGAGCCTCGGCAGGGGGTCAAGGGGCTGAGCCCCGGGAAGCTCAGGGGTTTTAGGTATTTAATTACGGTTAGATGAGCATCCAGGGGCCCGCCTTAGGGCCCTTGGTGGGGTTCCAGGTGGCAGAGCTTCCGGAAGCTCAGGGGTTTTAGGTATTTAATTACGGTCAGATGAGCATCCAGGGGCCCACCTCAGGGCCCTTTGTTGGCGTCCAGGGGGCAGAGCCCCCGGAAGCTCAGGGGTTTTAGGTATTTAATTACGGTCAGATGAGCATCCAGGGGCCCACCTTAGGTCCCTTGGTGGGGTCCGGGGGCGGAGCCCCCGTAAGCTCTGGGGTTTATAGGAATGGCTAGGTCTACTTTCAACGTTGAGGGTGTGTTATTTTATCAGCTGATTGGGTGCGCTAAACGAAAACGGTACAGAGGCTGGACTACGTTTTGGCTTGCCGTGGCTCGCTGTTGGGTGTACCGAAACGACGTTGTACCTTCCAAACCGCAGAGATAGCGCGGTCTAGCGCGCGCTATATCTGCCGGTGTGAACAGCCTCATAGACCACCCCAAGAGGTTGCTCCAGTGGCACGCCGTTTTGGCTCGCCAAGGCTCGCTGTTGGGCGCACCGAAACGACGTTGTACCATCCACACCGCAGAGATAGCGCGGTCTAGCGCGCGCTAGACCGCGCTATCTCTGCCGGTGTGAACAGCCTCAGACCCCGTTCTCACTGATTCCTAGACCGATCCAGGCTAGATCGATATAGGCTTGATCGGTCTAACTGCGAGTGTGTACAGACAAGCGGTTCCCTTCCTAGATCGCCCCAGACCGATCTAGCTTGTGTACTGTGTACACAAACCGTGCCAGGAAGCGATCTTCAACCGGAAGTACGTTTTTGTCGGTGTGTGTGTTACGCGGGAAATTATGTGTATGGCACGCAAAACATTTGAATCGCTGATCTTTGCAACCCCCAGCAATGGGAGCGGTCTAGCTCATTCGCGCTATACTATAGCAACAAAAGCGGTCTAGCTCATGAGTGTGTACACAAAACGAAGCGAACATCTGGAGCGATCCACTGGATCGGTCTAGCCTGGATCGTTCTAGGAATGAGTGAGAACGGGGTATTAGTGAAATGTTGGACTAACGATTGTACTTTTTCTTTAAATGTAATCACTTAAAATATCTATCATGAGATACATAATTTGTCCAACGTTTAACAAGTTATTACAAGAAGAAGAAGAAGAAAGGAAGACGTTATGAAAAATTGATTGAGGCATAAATCACAGATTTAATTGTTGTTTACTATCTGTTTGTATTTATTTTGTGTGTGTTGATTTCTTCTTTTTGTTTGTTTTCAGACAGCACGTTTACACACCATTTTTTGAGCATAATGAATTTACCGTATTTTATACATTCGATTTAGGAGTATGTAGGTCAAAGGTCATTGCTCATTAATAATGCGAATCTCGTTTCCGTTCGAAACCTGTAGTAACGTTTGGCGGATGTAATTATGCAAGTTGACATGAAGGTACATGGTATCAAAACACAGCCTAAGTTCGATTTCGGAGTATGTAGGTCAAAGGTGAAAGGTCATAGCTCGTTAAAAATGTGAAAATACCTAATTATAATTATTGCGAAAATGTGGTTAACTTCCTTGCCTAGTAATATAATAGTATAGTCTAATGGAGGTAATTTGTACCATGTAAGGGGACGCTTCGGTTTGCGTTGACTTGTTTAGGGGGTCACCCGTCAGTTTTCATGGGCAGAAGGCCATATTTCGTTGACACCAGACTTGGTGGATGAAAATCATCAACGTGTGTACAGGTATTAGGTCTGCACACAGCAAACCCGTAGGCCAACCCAGAAAATACCGCTTTCAAACTGGCTTCTATCGGAGTCACACCGATGAAAATACCGATTAAATTTTCCTTATGTAAACAAATGTGAAACCGCCGTTTTCCCTGCTGTCGCTTTCATACTGCCCGTGAAAAAAAAAATGCCGGAAGTGAAGAATTATTGCGCAATTATTAAGCCCGCGCTCCATCTAGCTAACATGCAGCATGTTCAACTATAAGTCTACAAACATAGCTGGTTACGATAACGCGCGCGTACACTGCGACCTTTGACCATTTTAATCGGTGTTTTAATCGCTGTTTTCTCCCGAACGCATTCACAGTGGCTTTTTCATCGGTGTCACACCGTTAAAATGAAAATTTCTTCTGCTCTTGAGCAGGAAAATTTAATCGCCTATTTCTCTTCTTTTTTTTCTTTCGGCTATTCTATCAGCTTTTTCTCCTCTGTAGCATTCATACTTGCATTTTTTTTCGGATGCGTCCGGATGCATCCGATGAAAATCAGGCCAGTTTGAAAGGGAGTCTTCGGGTGAGGGAAAAGTGAGATAATGGGCGGAAAATGCAGTACATTACATAAGGCCTGCTGGTCATAAAACTGAAGGCTAATTCTGGTGATTGACAGCATTTATTGGGTAAACACTCGAACGGTGTTGAATCCCATATGAGAGCTATTACTACTATGTGTCTTTAAATCATATATCCCCACAAAACTTAAATAATGATCCTTTTAATTGCAACATTACATAACGTGACATCAATAAAATAAAGGCAACAAAACACTAAGGGGGCTGCTGTCTCTTGAACAATTTGTTTACAGTTGCTTAATTTAGCTAGGAATGTAAATAATTTAAACAAAAATCCATTTGATTAATTTATCCGTCAGATACGATCTAAGATAACATGAATCTCTGAATGCCAGCCTAGTATCACAAGAATCAACACAAAAACCTCGGAAATTAAAACCTCAACAAAATAGTGAAAGAAGGTATTGGAGGAGCCAAACAAAGGGGTCGCCTGTGTAAGGTCCACATACCGGAAAAAAGAGGGTCATGGAAAGGAGCTGTGGAAACAGTGCCTTCCACATTTTAGAGCTTTTAAGAAAATGTTGGGATGATAACCTTACAGCTTTAATAGTTTTTGGTATATAAATAATTTGTGTGAGAATGCGTTTTATATTCATTACAGGTTTAATCCGGAGGAAAAAAGTACTAAAGGAGCGGAACAGAACGTTGTGACCAAGAGCGCAGTTTGCAGCTGGGAATTAGTTAATGACGATCAAACAGGTAAATGGGACTCCAGCGGAAATTTTTTGATGAATTTCGAACAGGATATGCATCTTGTATTTGATAATATTATGACACTGATTGTGCTGATTATCAGTATTATTGTTTGAGGACAATCGATTTCGTCATGAAAATGGTTTTATAAAAAAAAAATTGTAGGCCTACCGTATTTATTTGCTGTTGGTAACTAAATCAATGAAATAAATTAAGTCCACATGGTACCAATTTTGATTGTTACTCTTTCAGAACTACCTCTATTAGTCATCTGATTGTCCTCAAACAATAATACTGATAATGAATGACATGTACATTGCAACCTGTAGAATTCCATTGCCATTAAGCGCATCAATGTCCTCTTCTTGCTGAAAACAATAACAAGTAGGTCTTTAGACACACTGAAAATAGTCTGCAAGCACAGACCCTAATTTGACACTTTATCAAAAAATCATTGTGCCTTGAGAGAAGCCTAGCCCAGCTACCTACTGGTTGTGTCAGAAGCAGCTATAGTACATGGCCTAAGGTAGTCTTATAGTGCAGACTCTCTTTTACGACAGACCAGGGTTTGTGCCTGCAAACTACACTGAATAAGTATAGGTGTAGGGTCTGCAATTAGAAGACTGTGAATCTGGACAGAGTATTCGATACCAGCTGGTAATCCCTTTATCAGTAACTAGGGGCAGACAAACCCATGTGCGCTTATCTTCCTGGCGCTCAGCTTACTGAACAAAAATTCGCGTCCAATATTCGCGTCTGCGTGTCCCTTTTGGGCCGACGCAGACGTCAATAATTGACGTATACCTATGCAAGGTTTTTATTGTCTTTTTACGTCCAAGACGTAAAGAAAAAAAATCTGCGTGTCCCTTTTGGGAGACGCAGACGTGAATAT